AGAAAGCGAGAAATCACCCCCCCCCCCAGGGAGGATGGCCACACTGCAATCCCTTCTCCTTCATTCTCCTTTCAGGATCTTGGGCACGCACACATATGCGCCCGGCGAGTTTAAGCCACCAGGTCTGGGATTTGAACCGTGGTCGGCTACATGGGAGTCCAGCAACATAGCCATTATGCCAACTGCTGGTCCCAGGCCCATAAATAGTTTTGCATTATAGAAGAACTGCTCTAGATTATAGCACTGTCCAGTGAAAGCTATTGTGATAAAAATGTTCTACATCTGCACCAATAGGAAACCAGCAGCTATATGTGGCTGCTGAGCACTTGAAATATGGGCAGTATGACTGAGGAAATGAGTTTTTAATTTTAAAATTAATTTACATGTATTAAATGTAAATACAAATATAAACCGACACATACAGCTAGTGGCTACAACATGTTTTAGAATATAGAGAGAAACATGAAGATTATGAAGAGAAAAACAGATAGAAAAAGACCCAAATGCAGGCCAGTCTGTGGCCTGGTGGTTAATGCAACTGGATCCCACATGGCTGACTGTGTGGTTCGCATCCTGAATTGGGTGGCTTGACAAACATGTTGGATGCATGTTCACAAGTGACCAAAATTCCTACAGCAAGAGAAGGGACTGCAACATGACCATGCCCCGTGGAGGCTGCTTTCTTACTTTCCCTCTCTCTGTCTAGGCATGTGCCCTCTGGCAACATTTTTTAAATAATAATTAAAAGGCCCAAATGCAATTTCTAGAGATAAAATGCAATACTGAAACAAAAAAATGGATTAACAGATTAGACACCTCAAAAAATTCCAAAACATTAGTTAACACAAAAGACACTATAATAAAAACTATGCAAAATGAAGCACACAGAGTGGAAAAAAAGAAGAAAAAAATCAATTAATGGACCATTATTAACCTGTAGGATATTATCAAAGGGCTATAGGGATCATTGAAAACTTGGGAAAAGAGAGCAGGGAAGATACAAAAACTTATGGCCAGAAATATTTTAAGTTTATTTTTATTAACTTCTATGACAAAAGGAGAAGGAGATAGGGCATCCCCAATAGTCTTCATGCCATGATCCTATCCCTACGTTCAACCAACCTGGATCATGTATAAGAATCAATTACCCATCCTGCACAGGGAAACCTCGGGACATGAATTCAGAACCTTCCCATAAGCACTGAGCATCTCAGATCCTCCCAATACTGCTGCATCACTGTAACTGGCTGAAAATTTTCCAAATTTAATGTAAATTATAAGTATATAGGTCCAAAAACTCAAAAGAACCCTAAGAAAAAAAATTTGAAAAAAACACACTAGACTATATGGTAGTGGCACAGAGAGGGTATGGCTAGATCCACAAAAAAAAGGTCTGGGTTTGTGTCCCAGGACACTCCTCAACACACTAGGCACTGACACTAGGGATGGATTGTAGCATGGGAGTGGATCATGGCATTCCCTATTGGGAATGCCTGTCTCATTATCTTTCTCGTGGAAGAAACAGGTTAACTTTAAAAACAAATAAATAAAACCATAATAGCCAGGCATGGCGGCATGTGCCTGTAGTCCCCACTATTTAGGAGGATTATGACATAGTAAGACCCTATCTATATAAATAATTAAATAAATCCTCACTAAGACACAGCATAATAAACCTGCTAAAAATCAGTGGCAATAAAATTGTAGAAGTAGCCAGAAAACATAAAGGCTATTAAATACAGAGAAACAAAGATAAGAGAGACAGCAGACTTCTAGTCAGAAACAAAGAAAACTACCATTCAATAGAGCGGCATACTTAAAATGCTCAAGAAAAAAAACATTGCTAACTTAGAATTCAATATCCAGCAAAAAGAAAAAGTTATTCAAAATAAATTAATAAACAAAAACAAAACAAAGACCTTTTCAGACAGACAAAAGCAGAAAAGAATGAACTGCTGGGGTGGCAGGAGGTGTAGTGGTTAAGGGCACTGGATTACCACATGATTGACTGCGGTTCGAGTCCCAAACCTGGCAGCTGGCAGCTTGCTTTCTCACTTTCCTTCTTTCTCTCTCTCTTTCACTGTCCTTCTCTGGTCAAATTAAAAATAAATAGAGATAAATAAAATAATTTTTAAAAAAAAGAACGGCCAACAGTCATATACTACAAAAAATGTTGAAGGAAGCCAGAAGGAAAAATGATACCAGAGGGACTAAATTTTTGTTTACAAGTTTATTTTTTTATTTCATGAGTGAGAGAGACAGAGAGGGAAGCAGACAAAGCACCCCTGAGAGGGTCTCAATGTGACATTCCACCCTGAGCTTTAGCCAGCCTGGATCACGGACACACACATATACAGTATACTCAGGAAGGTCTCTGGATGTGAACTAGCAAGCAACCCTCTCACGTGGGTCTCTTTCACAGAGTACTGCATTTATACCTAATTTCCTAAATAGATGTAGAAAATGTTTGAAAAAAATATATAGTTTTCTGATTAATAACAACAAAAACTTTTAGTAAACAGTTTAAAAGTAAAAGAGAACATTCTCAAATAAAAGGTACCTAAGAAAAGCATATAGCTGTCATCACAATAACAATAAAAGACTTAGCACTGTACTAAGATTTAAAAATAAAGTCTAAGATGTCCCATTTCACCATTTCTATTCAACACTGTACTAGAGGTTTCAGACAATGCAATAAAACAAGAAAACAAAGAGGCATATGGATTGGAAAAAAATTAGTAAAATTCTTTATTTGCAAATGACATGATTGTCTATGTAGTAAATTCTACGAACTTACAAAAAGCTACTAAAACTAGTGAGTTTAACAAGGTTGCAGGATACAATAGGAACATACAAAATTTAACTATATTTCTACATACTAGCAATGAATAACCATATGTTGATATTAAATACCATTTGTAATAGTATCAAAAATATGAAACACTTAGGGATTCATTTGAGGGGAAAATGTGTAAATCCTGTATCTATCAACTAAAAAATAATGTTTTGAAAGAAATTAAAGAGACTTAAAGGAGAGATACACTGCATTCATGAATTGGAAGACTTAATATTGTCAAGAAGTCAGTTCTTTCCCAACTGATCTATAGATTCAATTCTAAACAAAATCCCAGACCTTTTCTTTTGAAATACACAAGCTGGTTTTATAATTTACATAGAAATACAAAAGACTTAACATAGGCAAAACAATTCAGAAAAAGAAGAGGACTTATCATACCTGATTTCGAAATGTATTATAAAGCTACAATAACCAAGACAATTCATTAATGGCATATATAGACGAACAGATCAATGCAACAAAATAGTCCAGAATCACACCACACATATATGGTCAACTGAGTCACAAAGGTGCAATAGCAATTCATTGGAATAGGATAATATTTTCAAGAAATGGTACTAGAACAATTAGAAAGAGAAATGAAAAAAGTGAACCTCTTCCTATCTCTCACACATACAAAAATTAACTCAAAATGGAACACAGATCTTAATGTAAGAGCTTAAATTATAAAACTGCCAGCAGAAAACACAAGAGAAAATCTCAATTTTCCTGGCTTTGGCAAAGATTTTCTCAAATACAATGCCAAAAAACATGAACTATAGAAGAAACTTATCAAATTATATGCCGTCAAAATTAAAAACTTTTATTCTCCAGAGATATTTGTAATTAAATAAAATGGCAAGCCAAAAACCATGAGAAAATGTTTTCAAAATACAAGGAGATTTCAGAAAGTTTGTGGAAAGATAACATTAAAAGATAAAAATAAAAGGGCCAATCCTATAGTACAACCGTTAAGTGTTGCGCATAGACAGCCAGATACCACATGACCAACTGCAGTTCAAACCCCCAAAACACACCAGGCATGTGTGCATACATGGCCAAAATGCTAATGAAGAAATGGAGGATAAAGGATTACAGCATGACCACACCCCATGGAAGATTCTCTCTTTGGTGAGCACACATGCCCGCTAGCAATAAAAAAATAATAATAAAAGAAAAAAAAAGGTAAAAATAAAAAATATAAATTTTATTTCTCATAAGCTTCATCAAGTTCAAGATACTTTCATAAGGATCAATACCAGCTGTTTAGTCCATTCCTAAATTAAGGTCTTGGAAATTTAATAATGTCAAAGCAGTTTTTTTTTTTTATATTAGTAACTGAAGAAAAAATGGGTGCCCTTTAAAAATTTTTTAAGATTAAGAAACAAAAAGAAGCCAGAAGGAACCAAAGCAAGGTAGATGCCTCATAATTTTTCACCAAAACTAGAAAATTGCCCTTCTTTGATTAGAAGAATGAACAAGAATATCATTGTGATGAAGAAGGACTCTGGTGAAGCTTTCCTAAGTGTTTTCTTCTAAAGCTTTGGCTAACTTTCTCAAAACACTCTCATAATAAGATGTTATTATCCTTTGGCCCTCCAGAAAATCAACAAGCAAAATGCTTTAAGTATCCCAAACAACTTGCCATGATCTTTGCTCTTGACGTGTCTGCTTTTACTTTCAGTGGGCCACTTCCACTTCGTGGTAGCCAATGCTTTGATTGTGCTTTGTCTTCAAGATCACAGTGCTAAGGCCATGTGTTATCTCCCATTACAATTCTTCAAAGAAATGCTCCAGGATCTTGATCCCACTTGTTTAAAATTTCCATTGAAGGCTCTTCTTTTGGCTGTAGTTGACCTGGACATAACAGTTTTGGCACCCATCGAGCAGAAAATTTTCTCAACTTTAATTTCTCTGTCAGAATTGTGTACGCTGAACCAGTTGAGATGTCTATGGTGTTGGCTATTGTTTCTGCTGTTAATCGTTGGTCCTCTTCAATTAGGGCACGAACAAGATTAATTTTTTCCTCACAAATTGATGTGGATGGTCTACCACTGCGGACATCATCTTCAACATCATCTCGCCCCTTCTTAAAACGAGTTACCCATTTGTAAACTGCTGATTTCTTTGGGGCACTGTCCCCATAAACTTTTTGTAAAGCATCAATGATTTCACCATTCTTCCACCCAAGCTTCACCATAAATTTGATGTTTGTTCTTGCTTCAATTTTAGCAGAATTCATCTTGCTCTGAGAGAGGCTCTTTTCAAACTGATGAAATATCCTTCTTAGTGGCCCAAACTAGATCCTGTTCAGACATGTTATAACAAGTTAGTATGAGTTTATTATGATGAAAAAAAAAATTGAAATCCATGCATAGTTTTTTCATAACACTCATTTTCCATAAACTTTGTGAAGACCTCTTAAGTATGTATATGCATGTGTGTGTGTGTAAAAGTTCATGTAAAATACATATTATGAAAAACTATGCATGGATTTCAAAATTTTTGCACCAAAATGAACTTATACTTTAACTACATTTTCCCATGAACTTTTTTTTTAAGAATTTTTTAAAATTTAACTTTGTTTATTTTAATTTGATCAGAGAGAGACAGAGTGAGTGGGAGAGAGAGAGATGTAAAGTGAGAAAGCTAGCTGCCAGGCCCGGGACTCGAACCAAGGTCAGCCATGTGGGAGTCTAGCTCCCTTAACCACAGGCATGTTGGCCTGGGATCATGAACTTTTTTTTTTTTTTTTGGCGAGATCTTCGCTAAAGGGCGCGTGCGCTCGCTGGACAGACAGAGAGAGACAGAGACAGAAAGAGAGAAATCACCCCCTGGGGGGATGGTCACGCCGCAATCCCTTCTCCTCCATTCTCCTCTCGGGATCTTGGGCACGCACGCACACACGCCCGGTGTGAGTTTTAAGCCACCAGGTCCGGGATGCGAACCGCGGTCGACTACGTGGAAGTCCAGTGACATAGCCATTACGCTAACTGCTGGTTCTCATCATGAACTTTTTTTAAAGTACTCTTATATATGTGTCTAAACCTTCACAACAACACAACAAAAATCTCATCTAAAAATGGGCAAAAGACTTAGATAATTCTCCAAAGAAGATATACAACTGACGTATAAGCATATGAAAATATGCACAACAACATTAGCCATCACAGTAATGTAAACCAGAACTATTAAGATACCACCTTACACCTACTAAAAGGGCTACTGATCAAAAAAGCAACAAATAAGTTTTCACAAGGGTGGGGAGAAATTGGAACAACAAGAAAATACCTCTCCTCCAAGGAAAAATAAGTCCTCTTCATTCTCAGACAGTATGATGAAATTCCTGGAAATGTCTGATAAAGAATTTAGGATTTTCATGGTGACAGCTCACAGAGATGGAAGAGAAGAAAGACAACGAACTGCCAAAGAAGCAGGGGGAAAGAAGCTGACGAGCTTCAGGAGATGAGGAAATTCTTGCAAGATCTAAAAGAAGAATTACAAACTTTACAAAAGAATCTAATGGACCTGTTAGAGATGAAGACTATAATACAGGAAGTCAAAACCTCCCTTGAAAGTATTCAAAGCAGACTAGCTCTCACTGAAAATCAAATCTCATTTGTAGAAGACAGAATTACTGGCCTAGAAAAATTCACCATGAAGACTGAGAAAATTGTCCAAAAACATGAGACTATTTATATGAGAAATACTAGATACCATCAAACATCCAAACATCCAGATAACTGGCATCCCAGAAGGAGAAGAGACCCATAAGGGCACTGACAATTTATTCTATGAAATCCTGGAAGAAAACTTTCCAAACCTGAGAAGCATTCAAAGATCCAATCCCCCAAAATACAAAGGACCCCAAAAAGAATTGACCCAAGATGATCTCCAAGACACATTATAGCCAGATTGAACAAAACCACAAAGATAAGATACTAAGATTGGCAAGAGAGAAATGGCAAGTTACCTACAAAGGATATCCCATCAGGCTGACAGCGGATCTCTCATCAGAAACAATGTGAGTGAGGAAAGAATGGGAAAATATATTCAAAGTGTTAAGGGAAAAGCAATTGTAACCACGGATACTATACCCAGCAAGATTATCCTTCATATGAGAAGAAAAGACAAGAACATTCTCAGATAAACAAAATCTGAAAGAATTTACCAACACCAGATCAGATCTCCAAGAAATTCTGCAGGGAGTGCTATACTAAGAAAATTAAATACAGCCACACAGAATTAAGACTTCAAAAACTAAGAAAATAGCCAATTTAATCGTGGGGACAAGTCTGGAGTTGAATATTATATCCCAGAATTTAATTGTGAAAAGTGAATCACAACAAAAGATAAAGTACATGAGACTAAACTGGTGAAATAGAATTTTATGACTTTTTTCGGAGAGGTTTTTCGCTATAAAGCATGTGCACTTGCCAGAAAGACAGAGACAGAAAGACAGAAAGCGAGAAATCACCCCTCGGGGGGATGGCCATGCAGCAACCCCTTCTCCTCCATTCTCCTCTGGAGATCTTGGGCACGCACGCACACGTACCCAGCATGAGTCTGGGTGCGGGACTCAAACCGCAGTCAACTACATGGGAGTCCAGCGACATAGCCATTACACTAACTGCTGGTCCCAGAATTTTATGACTTTTGACTAAAATACTGATTTTTTTCTAGGCTTTGTTTTCCAATTTTAAGGATTTTTGTCCTGTCTTGAGCTGCTGATAGGTTCATGTACCTACTATTTGAACAGAATCTCAACTGTTTCCTGGCTTTAAGTTTTAAGCATATTTCCTTAGCATTTCTTTGATTTATTAAAGTTAAATCTGCTTTTCTTTAAATTGAAAATTATAGTAAAAAATACATAATTAATGACCATAGTAAACTATACAGCATTGGCTAGGTGAAACCTTATAGTATGTTCATTCTACTCAGAGATTCATGCCTTAAGTCAGACATGTATTCATAGATATGTATCTATCAGCAGAGCTTACTATTGAAAGTAGTTAGATTATTTAAGAAATTTTGTGAATAAATAAAATGTGGGAGAAAAAAGGAATGGAAAACAACTGTGGACATCTGAGATAGTGTGGGAGGAGCATGGCAAATGACAGAGGGTGAGAAATAGGGGGAAAATATACACACACACACATATGTGTGTGTGTGTGTGTGTGTGTGTGTGTGTGTATATAACTGGAAATGGAAAATTATTGATGATTACATGTATGATTAAGCTACTATGCAGCATCTTCTGGATGGGAAATTACATTTTGTATGCTGTGACAATGCTCAGTTAATAAATGTAAATTAATTCATTACAAAATAAGAAATAAAAAAATTTAAAAAAATAAAAGAATTAAGATGATAAGTTTTATGTTCTGTGTATTTTACCACAATTTTTAAAAATTTATTAAAAGTCAGTTTCCAGGACCAGCAGATGGCATAATGGTTATGTCTCTGGACTCCCATGTAGTCAGCTGCAGTTCGGGTCCTAGACCCAACAACTTAAAACTCAAGCCAGCATGTGTATGTGCATGCCCCAAATCCCAAGAGGAGAAGGGACTGTAGTATGGCCATCCCCCTGAGGGGTGATTTCTTGCTTTCTGTCTCTCTCTGCCCCTCCAGCAAGCCTACCTGCCCTATAGCAAAAATCTCTCTAAACAAAAAACACACAACCAAAAAAGTCAGTTTCCTCTATACCAGCAATGAACAAGTGGATTTTGAAGTTATTAGGTCATCAGAAAAGTCATGACATGTTTTTCTATGCAAAAGTGCTTCATGATTTTTCCAACGAACCAATAAAAACACTGCCACTTATATTAGCAACCCTAAAAAAATATATAGGTATAAATCTATCAAAAAATATAAAGATCTTTATTAATAAAACTACAAAACTCTGATAAAAAGTCAAATGACTAAATAAATTGAGCAATATTACAAGTTGTGGATAGGAAGACTCAATATTGCCAAGATATCAGTTCTTCCTAACTTGATCTATAGACTCAATGGAATCCCAATCTTATCAAGCTATTGTGTGGGTATCAACAATGCAAATCTGAAGTTAATATGGAAAGGCAAAAGATCCAGAGTAGCCAAACAATACTGAAAAAGCAGAAATTTGGAAGACTGACACTACCTGACATCAAGACTTGCAATAAAAGGGACCAGCAGTTAGCGTAATGGCTATGTCGCTGGACTCCCACATAGTTGACTGCGGTTCAAGTCCCGGACCCGGTGGCTTAAACTCATGCTGGGCGCATGTGGGCGTGCATGCCCTAGATCCCAAGAGGACAATGGAGGAGAGGGATTGCGGCGTGGCCATCTCCCCTGGGGGATGATTTCTAGCTTTCTATCTCTCTGTCTCTCTCGGTCTGTCTGGCGAGCACACACACCCTATAGCAAAAACCTCTCCAAAAAAAGAAAAAGAAAAGAAAAAAAAGACTTGCAATAAAACAAATAATCGAGATATTAAGTTGTTAGGAAAGTCATGCTGTATTTTTCTATGCAAAAATGTGTCATGACTTGCCCAATGAGTATGTTACTAGCAAAAGAACAAGATCAAACAATAGACTAGAAGAGAGCCCAGACACAGACCCACATAAATGTAGTCAACTGATCTTTGAAAAAAGAGCAAAGGCAAAATACAGTGGTGAAAAGATATAGTTTTTCAACAATGGTGCTGGAACTACACATCCACATGCAAAAGAAAAAAAAAAATCTAGACACAGACCTTACATTTTTCACAGTATTTAACTCAAAATGGATCACACAGATCTAAATGTAAATATGAAACTATAATACCTAGGAAATACACAGGATGACTTTATAGATATGACACCAAAGGCATTATCCATAAGAGAAAGAATTAATAAGCTAGACTTCATAAAAATGAAAAATTTCTGCTCTGAGGTCAGCAGATGGCATAGCTGTTACGTTGCTGGACTCCCATATGGCAGATCACAGTCTGTTTGTGAGAGATTTTTGTTATAGTATGCATGTGCTCGCCAGAGATCAAAAGAGACAGAGAGACAGGAAGTGAGAAATCACCCCACTGGGGAGATCGCCACACGGCAACCCCTTTTCCTCCATTTTCCTCTCGGGATTTTGAGCATACACACACATGCACCTGGTGTGAGTTTTAAGCTGCCAAGTCCAACACTTGAACCACGGTCGTCTATGTGGGAGTCCAGTGATGTAAACATTATGCCATCTGCTGGTCCTGGCCAACCACAGTTCAAGTTTCGGACTTGAGGGGACTCATGCACCCTAAGGTAAAAATGTTAAAAAAAAAAAAAAAAAA